CCTGTCTCACCTGTCCTCCTCACAGCTGACAAAGATAGCAGAAGGACAAACGCTGATCCTTCAGGTCAGACACAATGACAGCGGGCTGTACGTGTGTGAGGCTCAGACCCAGGGGGGCTCTCAGAGGTCCACACCTGTGTCTCTGCAGGTGAACACCTACACAGGTAAACCTGGACTCCGTACACACATGAATCATTTTATTACTGACGACACGGCGGTGCTCCATCGTGCTGAGCTCTGCTCTGAGGAGGAGCTGCAGGTCATGACTAATCATCCAGAATGATGATTCAGCAGATTTGACATCTGAGCTGTTAAGACTGAATCGACTGGACGATGAGTCATCGCTGCTGACGCGAGAAAAACATCAGCATGTAAACAAGGGAGCACAGAGCAGCTGGTCAGATATCTGAAGTCTGAGTGAAATCAGAAAGATATACTCAGGAGTCTCTAAAGAACTGAAAAAGAAACGTACACTGGAGGTGTCAGATATCAGTCAGTCAGTTTGTTTGTTTGTTTGTTTGTTTGTTTGTTGTGTTTCAGGCATCGATGTTGGTCCTCTGCTGATTCCTAACCTTGTCAGCGGCGTGGTGCTGGTCCTCTTCGTCCTGACTGTCGCTCTCGGTGTTTACAAGTATCAAAGGTAACGAAAGAACGCTGACACGTCGTACCTGCAGTTTCTAGCTTTCATATCATGACGTATAGATTTCAGAGAGTAACGGGGTTCATACTGTAGCTTTGGAAGAAGCTGAGGGACAGGATGGTTAAATGCCCTGAGCTGTCACAGCGACCAATCAGGACGCCCCTCGGTTTGTCAGATATGAGAGCAGTTATCAGGTCAACAGGTGTTGTAGCGATGGAAGCGGTCAAGAGAAGTGGTTCAGATAGAAGTGATTGTACCCGACCTAAAAAGCCTCTGCATGTTTCTAATAAGCTCCACGAGCAGAAACGTGCTCAAACTAGGATCAATATTGGAGATGCTTTTGAAAAATGGAGAGAGGTTAGAACACAGAAAGGTTTACAGACCCATGCAGAGCTGGATAAACACTGAAGCTTCAGAGTCCACCACATGGTGACCTGTGTGAGGGGGGGGGGGGGGGCAGCTCTCTATGATGTTTAGAATTTAAACTGCAGTACCCATTTTAAACACTAGGGGCCAGAGTTACATACTGCTCCTTTAACATTTAATGTAACTTCGGTTAAATTGGAAGAAACTTCTTTAGTATCTAAATAATTTGCATTTCTCTGAAGCTTCTCTTTCCGATTCATTTATTTGAATTATTCAGGTTTTATTATGAGTCCAATGACATCACAAGCTTATAAAATATTCTTCATTACTGCATCTTAACCCTTTAAAGGATGGAGCAGGCCGTGTGTGGTAACTTTATTGCACGTGGGCCAATGGGCAGGAAGAAGGATTGTTTATGGATCTCAAGTTGTTGAATAGAAACTCGCTCATATGAGTTTCTTTTGAAATGTATTGTACAAAGATTCTCCTCTCCTGTATCTTTGTGGGCTGTTCTTAAAACCACAACTTCTTGTTTTTCCTTTATTGTAAGTGACAATGTTGAAACATAAATATAAAAAGAAACTCGCTCATATGAGTTTCTTTTCTAACTTTCTTCTTCGCTTGTTTTTCTCCTCGCAGTCTTTCCAGGAGGCTGAAGGTAAGCGGACATTTTTTCTCCTCCCACAGACTCTGACTGACAGCCAGAGACGAGACGAGGCTGTAGATAAAACGCTCCGTCGATCTGATAAGACGATCTGAGGCCTCGGCCCGTCAGCGTGTAGTCACAGTCTCGTCTCGTCCACTTCCTCACCCTCGCTGTTTGACTGAAGCAGGAAGTTTGGATGACTAATCAATAAGTTCTTCCCCTTCACAGTAAATCACTGATAAAGACATTCTCTTCGTTTGGCTGCTCGCTCCGATATGAGGTATTTCACCATCGCTCCCTGAATGGCGTCAGAGCGTGCACGCCTAACTCTGCCGCCGTCATTAAAACCTGAGTGGCTGATGACTGACTGGGCAGAACGACCTCTTACCCGCGGTCCGTCTCCAGAGAGCAGCACCAGCACCACTACGCTCTGCGCTGTCTATTTACGACGCAGTTCGCTGCAAGCAGGCGTCAGAATGATCCGCACGGAGAAAAACCGTGGCGCTAACGGAGTGTAGCACGCACAGGCTACGGTGGGAGGAGTCACAAGTCGGATTTGAACCGCGGGACTCATGCCTCTGTGCATACGCTCACTGATGCTGCACTCTGACCACACAAACTCCGCCGCCAGACTCGGTCAGACTCCGGGGTTGATGGGACAACTTTGAAAGCGAAATGGTCATTAGTGGCGGAGGAATGGCGAGAAAATGTTCCAGCGCGTTTTAAACGTTTTCATTTGGACAGAGACGTTTATGAGACCTGAGCGTGTGTGGACGGTAGTGTTGTAGTCCAGACCACACTGACCGAGACCAGAGCGCTCCGAGATCCAGACAAGATCAAGACCGAGACCAAAGCAGGGCGAGACCGAGTCCAAGATCAAGACCATCAATATCTCTAAGAAATCTTCATCTTGTGTTTAGGGGGGCGTGTCCCTCACTTTGACCATCACACCGGGAAGGTTGCGGCCGTAACCGGAGGCGTTTTCCTTCCATCCCAGTGGTGGTCTTGATTTAAAACCGATTCCGAGACGGGACCTTCAAAGCGTCGTCTCAGTTTGAAAATGAGGTGTCGCTCTTCACGTTCATTTGAATGTCGTTCTTTGTTCTTCATCAGCAGGTCGAGCTGCAGGGAGAAAACACGTACACAGATCTGAGGAGTCTCCCCGCTGACTACGACCAACTCCAGGTACCTGCAGACTGAATCTCCTGAACCATAGACGTTACTCTCTGTGGGTACGGGCAGGCGCGTCTCAACACCCACACTTTCACTGAAACGTATTTTCGTAAGATTTATTAAGTCACAATTAAGCCAATCGTAGCTGTTCGGTTACAGATGAAGCACGGTAAAGTTACGTTTAATCCTCCTGTCACTCATCACTGAGTCAGAGCTCAGAGCTAACACATGGATACATGCTACATGTAGCATCCTTCAGAAAGATGTTTTAAAGATAAATCCACCTCACAAAACAACGTTAGTGTAACATTTTCTCCTCTTGTTCTTTTAGCTGTGTTTATTTACTCCCCTAACTTTACGACAAAGCGGAAGTCCCCTTTGCAGTTTTTCAAAATAAAAGCACATTATATTTGAAGACCGGAACTAAAGAGACTGAGACATAAAGCAATAAGAAAAGCAAAATAAAAGCATCACAAAGATCAGTTTTGAATCTGGTTTCTAGAGCTGACTGGGTTACTCACAATGGATGTTCATAAAGTTAGTGTCTAATTATCTTTTGTAACTTTGTCTTGTTGTGTGATGTGTCAGCTAAACTTAGTTATTGGACATTAAATTAATCAGAATGTGTTGATTTGCTAGAGGGTGGTAATATACTAGCATTAGAACACCCGCACTATTAAAATGGCTGCTCCACCCCTGGGTATGGGTAAAAGACAAATCTGAACAATGTGAAGAAAAAGAAGAAGTAGTTGCAGAGATGAAAACGGAGTAAAGATTCCCTCTCTGTGTTCCCTCCGTACTGACTTTGTGTTTTCTGTTTGATTTCTTCTTCTCGTTTCTTTTTTATCTCGTCGAGTCTCGGCAGCCCAAAGAGAAGCTCTCTCCAGATCTCTCCAACTACCAGAACCTGCAGGAGCTGCATATTTCTAATGTCAGCATCAGCCCGAGCGGATCGAAAGGACCGTGCTAGAGATTCAAGAAGGGAATATGAAGAAGCTTTGAATGTGAATATTCCTGCAGCTCTGTGTTTAAACATTTAAAGTCTGCAGTCTTTATTTCTCTGATCTGTGAATGAGACCATCATGCTAACAAAGCTGCAGTTTGACTCTTATTTAATGTCTGTTTTTTTAAACCTTGCTAAAAAATGTTGATTCATCTATTTTTTTTTTTTTTCGGGTTAATATGTATGTATGGGAGGGGGGGCGTCAGTTTTGTGGTTAATTTGTAACAAATGTTTCATGTCATGTCTTTGTAACCTGCTACTGGATGATTTGAATTTCCCTCAGGATCAATAAAGTATCTACCTATCTATCTATCTATCTATCTATCTATCTATCTAGCTATCTAGCTGTTAGGAGGGTTAATAAGCCCCTCCCACTCCACACTAAGAGCTTTAGGATGGCAGCCAATGCAGCAACCTCTCCTGGCGAGTGTGCAGACACCGTTAAAGTGTGTGTGTGATCACTCACAACTTTTCTACTCTAAAGAAAAAGAGATGACAGACGAGACGAATCTGTAACTTGTTAAGGAGTCAGATGGGCGTGGAAACATAACACACTGGTGTCTGCACAGCTGTAGAGCATAACTGTGTGTGATGAAATCAAGCGGCTGGTCCAGAAACCGGGGTGAGATCAGCATAATGTCGGGGTCTCAGACAGGATCTACAAAAACTCCCACATCCTGAAGAATTCCAGCGGAATCATCGACATGCCGCTTACTTTGAGTTCACGCTTCACTGAGCGTCTTTGGGGAGATGTGAGCTGTTGTCTGGCTGTCACGCTGAATTCCTCGCTAATGTGATGGTTTAAATTGGCGGCGCTTTTATTGTCCGTGTGCTAGAAAGTGTTTGATCCCTAAAAATAGTCGCTGAGTGTTGGGGGAGAATGCCAAAACGTGTCTTTTCATGCTTTTGTAGAAAGCGTTGGTACAGGCACTGGCTTGCACCATCTCTGCTTCTTGTTCTTTTTTCTGAGCATGCTCTGTCCGGTCCGTTACCTGAGCAGCTTTTACAAACTTTCAGTCTGAGCAAAAAGGAACCTGCGTTCGCCTGTCAGTCATTTGCACGCTGCCTCCCCCGCTCGCCCTTTCACCGCTGCATTCCTCACATTCTTCCATTCAGCATTCAGAGGTCAGAAAAAAAAGAGAGAGAGAGTGAAAAAGGATCAAAAGTAGAAG